ATATATATAAAAAAAAAAAACATCAAGAAGCCACAGCTGTCTCGTAAAGAAGCACCTTCTGCTTGAAGGACAAATGGCTGCATTGTATGCAGATGAGCCTTCTCACATACAAAGAAGTTCTATTCTACAGCCCTGAACTGAATTTGATTTACATGACTTTAAGTATGTCGGCATCAACCAGTACAAGACTAACTGCATAATGCATCTGGCATGTAAATGTGTCATCATCACGTCTTTGACTGACTCACATTAGCCCGTAAACTCTTAACGGTTGTGAGTGGCTCCGAGGAGAAGTGCATCATTTCCATTGTTGTGGGCTGCATGTGTATTGGATTCATGCATGTTAATAACGCGTATAAATCCTTTGTATTTTACAACTAGTCATGTGGGACAAAAAATATCCTCTCTAATTCAAAATGTCTGTGCAGATTCTCAGTCATCCAGGTCTCTGATTCAAAGTTGACTCATTCAAAATGTGACAGAGAGAAAGCATTCCTGGAACGACCTACAAGAGAACAGAGACTATAACTCCTCCATTTTGCTTTTACAAAGTCTTTAGTCTTTTTGCTGACGTACCTAACAAAACTGGCAGGAAAACTTCACACACGAAGTTCAATGTACTGTAGGCTAATGAGTCTCCCTAGTAGCCTACATAACTGAATATGTGATACTGAGCACAGCACTGAAAGGTAAAAACCTCTGTTTGGAATAACAAATCTAAGTAATGCAAAAAAATGATAAAAACTATACAGACAAAACAAAAGACCAAATAAATAATTTATAGTGTAGTCCACTGTATGTACTCATTTGGTCCATTGTTCTTCTGAAACAGTAATTTGAAGCACTCCTACTTACAGTCTGTCTCCGTCGGTAGGTGAAGTTCTTCCAAAGCAGTAAACCCAGTTGAGTGGAGACTGACATGTTGCTGTCTTCCCAACCTCACTGAGCACGCTCTGGGACCTCGCTGTGAATCAAAGATGGCAAAAAGAAAGGGTCAACCACTGCAACGCCAGCTTTCTTAAAATCAACAAATAACACTTTTCTCATTGTGACAATGCCATGGGTTAATCACATTCAGCTAACTAACCCTTTACAGTACAGCTTATGGAAAAAGACAGTTTACAAGAAATGCCCTTCCGACATACACTGACCAAAAAAATAGCAGAACAGAAAATGATTACGTCAGCAAACCATATCTAAGTACATACAACTGTATCAAATATATCTACAACATCCATCTGATCGTGCCATCGTGAATTATTTATACACAAAATACTACGACAAAAAAATCACCAAGGAAAAGAAGCAAACTAGACCAACATTACCAGGTTATTATGCAATTCTAAAACAAACAGTTAAAACTAGAAACCAATAAAATGCCAGAAGAAACCGAAGATCACTGCTGACAGAAAATAAGCATAGCAGCAGATTAACCTACTGAAGAAGACGGTTTCGCTCAGACCAGCAAAAAGTACAGCAACACAAATGAAGTTGACAGATGAATGGGGAGGGCTGCTAACCACTGCTGAGTGAGGTCCACTTGATGTATAGACTCATCTGTCCAAAGGTCAAGCCGCAAATCAACTGGGAGGACGAGCGGGTGGTGGGCAGTTTTCATGCGGTGAAAGTTGCTGATAATCCTTTTATGGTAACAGCTTTCACCCTGTTACACCTCAGTTTCGCACACAATGCTGCATTTCATGAAAATGTTATAATAAAACATCACTTTAACTCACTGTCATTCCTGTTGTTTAATCTAAATATAACCCACTGATTAAACAGCATTAGTGTGTTTACTGAGAGTAATGTGATAAACAGAATATTTTGCCTTCATTTTTATAAAAACTGGACTTTATCAGATCTAATAAAGATGAGGTGACTCATCTCATACTGCCGTATGGAGTTTACACTATTTCGTGACTATTTATTCTATTTGCAGATTCAAACGTCCTTGAATTTGTGCTCTGACTTGTTTTATGCAACTTGCTCAGACCGGAACACCCAGTTCATCTGTTAGACCAGGGGTTTTCAACTGGTGGTCCGTGGCACCCTGGTTGTCCATAAAGGCATTGCAGGTGGTCTCTGATCATGTATTCAGTAACACACACAAATACACAAAATACTTACTGTAGTTTGATGTGGGTATTTGCTCTTTCTTTTTTTGCACAAAGAAGAATTACTTTGTTATCTGAATAGTAACTAAAACATAAAAGTCCCACAAATTTTGTAATCCAGTCTCCCAAGACAGACATCAGGACCCAAAATCAGGTCGGCCACTCAAGGCTGAAACCTTTACTTATTAACTAAAATGTTTTGTTTTTACATCCTTGGTTAAAATTCACACACTTTTTATAAAAAAAAGAAAAAACAACAACACAGCTAATGATGCTGTTGCCTAACATTTGTAGTTGGTCACATGTGATGGCTAAACTGAAGTACAAGTTGGAAATCTTTTTAATCAAAGGGCCAAGGCTAATCTGTTTGTTACGCTGAATGACCTTTATACTGAATAAAGCTGACTGGATATCAGAAAGCATAGCATGACACTCTCAAGGACACAGTGATGTCCAAACATGATTGTCTCCATTGATCATTCCCTTGTGAGCTGCCCTAATCAAGCTTTGAATCCAGTTTTCAGTGGTTTTACAACACATTCCCTTTAATGCAATCAGTTCCTATTTCAGCTCCTAAATGGTATGGCACTCAATACTACGTGAGAGAGAAATGGTATTTCGATTTTCTGTATGTCCTGCACAAATAGTCAAACTGACAACAAAAATCTTTGAACCTTGAACCAAATGACACTGCTGTCACGTTTTCCCTCAGCAGTCACTCGTTTGTACAGTAAAACTAATTTGTAACATACTGTCAAAATGGAACCATCAAATGTTTTTTTTTCTCCAATACTAAGTGTCATTTACCTTCCAAACATTTTCTCCATTGTCCATAACATTGTCTTTTTTATACCAGTAGCTCAGCTACTCTGCAAAGTTTCTAAGGTTCATTGCAGTAGCCTGTGTTAAACGACTCCACCAGATTGTTTAATATGTTGCAATATAAACCAACAGGACCTTTGGGATCAACAAACAACAAAGTGACCCATGGACAGTACCTGCTGTAATGATACATCTGTTTTCTGAGTCCCTCGATTTAAGAACAGCACTGCCGGCACATATTGCATTTAACAGTTTTATTGAGAAAAAGTTGAAGTCTGCAGTTACAACAAACAGATATTCACTGACAACGCTGACAAAATAATTGCAAAAGCAGGTCAGGGGATTTAACAAGGACACAATTTAATAGTCTTGAACAACCCTAAAAGATCATTAATGCTTATATTGAAGTGGGCTTAAAAACAAAAACATCATCAGCACAGGTTTGTCTTTGGTCACCAATTAACGCTGACTTTGGGTACATAGTAATTGCTGGTTTTTCCGCTGAATGCTTTCTAGCACACTTCTGCATGAAAGCAGTAAAATGTTTCAGGAAAAACACTGCCAACATTCCTGTTCTGCAATGTTTATGTTTGTGTGGGTGGACAGCACTGTATACAGTTTACACCTTTGCCAAATTTGAAATGTACTGAATGGGTTTTTTCATCATTTCTTTTAATCATATCCCATTTCTTGGCTGCCAGGTTTGATTATTAAAAGCAGCTTTCCCTCCAACCTTCATATGGGGATGGATATCTAAACCGAACACCCTGAGGTCTGTATTACCCATTAAAGGATTTGAGCTTCATCTACCTTGCATCAGCTTGGTTCTGCTGCTGTTGTTTTTTGTAATTACACTTTGAGTACCTTGAGTCCTTTGAGGAATTGTATGATTTTGGTAAACACACTGGTGGCAATACATACAGAGCTTCTCTGCTGAATGTTGAGCAGCTAAAATGGTGCAGAGCCAGGGTGCCTCTAGTGGTGCACACAAAAATCTTCAGTTTTGTTCTTGTTTACCATCAATTCTCGCTCACGTGTTATATCACACTCCTATAGATGCCCCCTCCCCCCCAGCTCCATTGTTTCACTTCTTTTCTGAAAACACTTGACAGATGATTCAAAATGGGATGCTAATCAAAAGAAATAACATTTTTTTCTATGACGAAAAGGACGATGTAAGACCGTCGATGCCTATACACCAAAGACACTTTTGCATCTTCTATTCACGAATGAAAACAGGAAGCGTCTCTTTTCGTCCAAGTCGCAGCTTAACTGCAGATATATGTACATGCATAACATACTAAAAGCAATACAAATTATTGCACTGACCGCACACATTTCGGAATAAAAAAAAATACAAATGAATGGAATAAAAAGCAGGTTCCAGTTAATTGTTATATAGGGGACAGTGCACTGCGACACAATGTCAACATTATAACAGTCATAACTCATCAAAATCTGACTGACTGGATTATATGATTAGGTTTCATTGTTCTGTTGAAAAGGGGTTACTGTCGGTCATTCAGCTTCGCAATGCTGTCCTAAAACTGCGTCAAGCCAGTTAAAAAACACTAGAATGACGCTCACTGTACTTTCAGCGTTAAGCTGCAAGGACTGTAACTTGGAAAATACAATTATTACCAGCTGCTCCCTTGCTGTAGCTTTAAAATTAATGTGGCGTGCTGAGCACTAGAGGAGATAGGTCATTTTAGGGTCACTTTTAATTAACTTATTTTACACCTATTCAGTTAAATATGGGGGTAATCTGTAATACATAAACCTTGCAATAAAGAGGCTTTTATTTGTTTGAACATTCCACCGGAAGTCAAGTGTTTGACTGCAGCTGCCTTGACAATTGCTTACTTCTGCTTACAGACGCTGGAAAAGATATTGACATGCATGATGAAAGAGCAAAAACTTTTACCTATTGCCTCTAACAAATACCGCACAATCAGCACAGAAACTGACGTAAAATAAAAAAATAAATAAAAAATTAAACTCCCTTAATAATTATTGGCAGTAATTAGCATTCAAGACCAAGACAGTTTTTGTTTATGTCGTTAGCCAAAAAGAAAACATTAAACTCACAATGAGTGGGCAAACAGTTATTATGAACATGTCTTGTAAGTGCGGCGTGGAGACATACATCTCTATGCCTCCAACAAAGAAACTCACAAATCCACAAAAACTCAACACAAAATTCCAAACTCACCAACCTTGAGCCTGAACGCTGTGAATATCCACTCTTTCTCTTTTCATAAAGTGAATCCCCAGAACAAGTCAGGAATAGTGAATAAAATGTACTCCTCTACCGTTATGCTTCTTGTCTTCTCTATGTCTGAAAAAACTGTTTCTTTCGTCACCCCGAAGCTTTTATAGCGCTCAGTGCGGAGCGAAGAAGCGGAGACCAGCAGCAGAGGTAACTGTCGGTCACAGTTAAAGGCTGCTCCATATAAGGAAAGCACGTGCCAAGTCAAAACAGCTATTAAAGGGCTAGCGACACCTCGGCGCGCTCACTGTGCTGCTTCTGTAACAGCCAGACTCAAGAAGCGTCCTAATACATCTGTACAAGATTTTAAAACTGTATGTTATATGCATTATTATATATTATTTTATTGTTTTTTTTAGTTTATAATTATTACATAAGGTACTTTATTAAACACAGAAAAAAATGCAGCAGCCAAATCACATAAAACAAAACAACACAATGAATGGCAATAACAACATACAATAAAAAGTCAAATATTTTAAATATTACATTAAATATATTAAGAAAAAATTGAGACTAATGCCAAAGACTTTACCATAATCCCTAAATAAGGAAAATAATATAATTCCCAGTAAAATACTGCATATTGCTGGCACAAATCAGCAATGAATTGCTGGATCTTAGGGCAGTGGGCTGATTTTTTGCCTTTAGATTAATCATGATAAAATAACTTGAAGAAATATTCTTAAATATAAACAATACAAGGAGCTAAAATGAAGACATAATTTTGAACAAAATAAAAATAAAGACATAAAAAATACAAAGGTAAGTATATAAATTTCTTAAGTGTAATAGGATAAAATATATTGCATATATACTATAAAACAAACTAAATATACTTGAGGTGTTTGTACAGGCATTTATAGTTATATTCCATAAAAAGCGTTGCATCAAAAGTCACTAGTTTGCTGCTTCAGAAACTTTTGCTGGTGTAAATAATTTAATTTCATGGAGCAAAATATGTACTACACCTATGCGAACAAGACAGCATAGTGTCTGTTTAAACTGAAAATGCTGTTAATTAATTTAAGAATCTAGAAGCAATTTACTGAAACACATTTGGGATTTTCAGACTACAAACTGCTTACTATTAGTCTTGCCTCTCTTCATGCAAGAACATGTGTAATCAAATGCCACCTGGCAGACATCCTCCTCCTCTTTCTTTGTCATAATAATTTATATAGATACTATAGATGAGTGTGAATGTGGTTATCTGTCTCAATGTGTGTTTGCCCTGTGACAGACTGGCAGCCCAAGTGTACCCTGCTTCTTGTCCAGTGGGTACTGGAACAGATGTCAGGCCTGCATGACCCTGAACAGCATAAGCACCTTAGAAAGTTGATACATGGATGCTAAATGAACTTACTGCTTTCATCCATCAAACCTAGAATCAAATCTCAGCAGGCCAAGGACAGCAGGTCACGTGCAGTGTTGTTTCAACAACACACAATATACAGCAAACCTGGACACCTGCAGCATGCACCTGATTTGTATAAGAAATGTGAATTGTTTTGTGTTACACTGACTGCATTACAACCCAGATGATGATTCAAAGTTGCTGTTTCTTTTGTTAACACTGGTAGATTCCATAAAAATTGATCTGATTTGTTTTGAACTGGTATTGGCAATTGTCTTTGCTGGTAAAAAGCAAAGGTGACAGTAAAAGTGGAGTGTGGTTAAAGTTAATACTTTGTGTTGTTATTTTTAACCCTCATTGCTTCATGTTGCACTTTGCTGTTGATGCTACTGTGACTCGTGTTGGGCTTTTTTGCTTAAACCCTCATATTTCATATCGCTCATGCTGTGCTGCTGATTAACTAATTGATTACAGAGCTAATTTCCCTGCACGGATATAGAAAAAAATTTCTTCTACCTGGAATATTTTTTTTATAGTAAATTAAAATATGACCTATTGTTGTGTTGGGGCCGGAAAGACATTTGGATCCCCCAGGGATGTATTTAATTTGGGGTTGGTGGGAATTGTTTGATGTTCTGGCTGTTGATGTGGTTGCCTGCATTTGTGTGCATGTGAAAATAAAAGCAAAAATGGCAACTCCTTCCTCAAGCTGGCCTACATTATATTGGGATAGGGAGAAGCCGCAGCATCTGACAGAAGCGAGAGGCAGTGCAACCTGAAGCAGAAGGCCCTGTGGCTGCTGGGGGACTTCCTGTCCCCCTACCCTCAGTGGGAGCCCACCAAAATGAGATCGCTGATGGAGCCAGTGTTCCCTGCCAGGTAAGCCAGGGGAATCAGTCATCACCACCTTGGCTTCTCAGGCACCCAGAGCCAGCACCAATGCACCAGCCAGATGTTCCAGAACCATGAGCAGGTCAGTCCGAGCTGGGGTGTGAGACCAACCTTGGTGACAACCTGACCAGAAGGTCGTGTGTGGAGCGTTGCTTTGCAGTGTGCCATTTTCTCTCCAACCCTCTGGGGTTCTCTGGTAGAAGCATCTGGAAGGTGTATGTCACCCAGTTCAAATTGTTAGCCACTGCTGCTCACTGATCAGGGGAGGTGAAGGCACTACAGCTGACTTTGCCACTGACGGAGAATGCCCAGTCATGCCTGCTGTTGCTGAGCCCAGATGAGTGAAGTGACTACAAAGCCCTGGGTGAGTACACTTCAGAGAGGCTTTGGCAAGCTTGGCCTGCAACATGCCCTGCACCAAACCCAGCTGCTGGGAGAATCTGCAATGGCTTACGACTTCAAGAGCCTGGGCTGGCACACCTATACTTTCATTCCACCTGCCATCTGCGGGTACCACAGTGACTGGTGAGAGCACACAGATGAAGGGAGAAAGGACACTCAGTGTGACTGTTGCTAGCAATGCTGGTGAGCACTGGTTCAGGCTGGCCAGCACTCAAGATCATGCCTCATCAGTCTTGGCCTGCTGGCAGAGTGGGGTCCTGTGGTGGATGTGCCTGGGGCTACGCTCCACCTGGTTGCAAATGCCAAGGCTCTCCACACTGCTGGTAGGGAAGGACTGCGCATAAGTGCAATGCTAGAATGGCTGGATGGAACGTCATCTACACCACCAGGGTCAGCCAGGGATTTGTTCACGCCAATTCTGTTTTCTTGGGTGGTGGGCACCCAGATGGGGCACGCCGGTGAGAGCTCGTACGAGAGGAGCTACAGAAGAAAGAAACACCAGCATAGTCAGCGGAATGAGGACTGGGACACTACAACATGACAGGAATTTTCTCCTACCAGCAGAGGTGGGGGTTCCGGTGCAACTTGGAGGGGGCTGACCCAGCTCTTGCATGCTCCCTGGCAGCAGGACCATATGGGGGCACCAATGAATGTAGGGCCTCTGCAGATGCAGGCACAGGATGCTTGCAACCCAGGAGAGAACTTTGTCCCTGGCACACTCTTGAGGGTGTACAGCTCCTGGAAAGAGGAGGGGCTTGTCCCTACAGTCAGAGCCAGTGGAGCAGAACCTGTACTGTACTGAAGGGACTGTTGGATGCGAAGTACAGGGTGAGGCTGAATAAGTGGAACCAGGTGGTGCTTCACAGGGACAGACTCACACCATACTGGCCCTTGGCTTCACCTGAGAGGGGAAGGTTGGACAACAGGAGCCAGCCCAGGAGCTACCAGAGCAGACTCAGTGTCAGTGCAGGCCACCCCCAACATGTAAAAAACTTTGCTATGACTGTGGTTACTGAGGAAAGTTAACCAGCCAGGTGGGGGGTGTGTAGCGTTAGGGGTGGACAGACATTTGATGGGGTCCCCCAGAATGCCTTAGGGGGGAAGCACCTGGCGGGATCCCCCATAATACCCCTCCAAATGTGATGTATTTAGTTTAGGGTTGACAGGGATTGTTTGGTGTTCTGGCTGTTGGTGCAGTTGCCCACATGTGTCTGAAAATAAAAGAGGAAAGGCAGCTTCTGTCCGTGGTGCCTTCCTCAAGATAGCCCAGATTACATTATTTTGATGAAAACTGACCAAGCAAATTGCTGAGAGTTGTGAGTGGTTGTGACTCCTGGCTATTCATGTGCTTCAGTTTGACAATTGCCCTCACTTTGACCATTAAACATTCATATATTCAGAGCAACTTTTACAGCATCACAACATTTACAGCAGCTTTTCCAAGAATACAAATGAATACACTCTGTGTTGAACTGCTAGTGTGTTTTCTTGCATGAAGTTTTCCACTGTTTTGTTGCCTGTTTCATGAAAGTGTACCAAAAACCTTTCCACCCCAGTGAGTGTGGCTAAACAATGACAGACTATGCTGGTAGGGCCCCTGGATACCATTCTACTGTCTAACAACATTATATTCAAGAACAATACATTTACATGTCATCAGGCACTAGTCAGGCTGGTTTATGTTTGTTTGATGGAATTACTGGCTGCCACCCACACCAACATTGTCAGTAGAAACATTTTCCCTTCATAATGATAAAGTGGGGGCCAAGAGGATGAAGGAACATGAAACTGCACAAATCACATTCCCTGTGTTAAATTGTAGCAGTGAATACTGATTATCAGGCATGCACACTATACCAACCTGGGTGTGCATCAAATACAACAATAGCAGTTGTAGCTTGCTAGTTTAAACACACAAAATACAGTATTGTAACCTCCTCTGCACATGCACTTTTTTATAACTCTGCACTGCGGATTTACAAAATTATAAAAATCAACCACAGCTGACCCCAGACTCACATCACCATTAACTTTTTGACAGCACTGTTGACAAATCCTCAGAGTAAATAGTATGATTACAAAGAACTCAACAACCATCTGGCAGTGATTATTTGGCCTAGTCTGCCTCAGGTGTCTTTTATTCTGTTCTTTTTTGCTTAAGAGTACAATTTGTTTAAAGATGGTGGACAGCTGGATCATTCTCTTTCCTTTCCTTCTCAATTTAAACCTATAGATACCAAATTGGGCTACATTATTAAAACAGGAAGGTAATATTAAATTTAATGCCACTTAAAACATCCAGTGCTTCTTCTCTGGTGTGGTTTAATACTAAGAGTCGAATGGGTGCATACATAACACAAACCAAGAGGGAAATATAGACTTATACAGGGTTTGCATAGTTTACAAGTACAAAGTACAAAGCAATAATATGTCATTACCTTTACTAAATTGTTAAAATTTTTTGATTTAGTGGGATATAAGACTGCTGTG